AGCGGGCGGGCCCCTGCCGGTGCTGCGGCTTCGCTCCCAGTGCCCCTGGTCTGCTGGAGACGGTCTCCAGCAGACCAGGGGCACCGGGAGCAGCTTACGAACAGGGCTTTCTCACCCCGGAGCTCGCAGGCAGCAATCCCCCACCACGACCTCCAGGGCGGGAAAGGCCCGTTCGTAAGTGCGGATCCGACATAAGTCGGATCCGCGTAAGTCGGGGACTGCCTGTATACAAGGAGGCTACGTCTACACTGGAATGATTTTCCGGAAATGCTTTTAATGGAAAAGTTTTCCGTTAAAAGCATTTTCCGTAAAGTGCGTCTAGATTGGCCACGGACGCTTTTCCGCAAAAAGTTCTTTTGCGGAAAAGCGTCCTGCCAATCTAGACGTGTTTTGGGCAAAAAAGCCCTAATCGCCATTTTCGCGATCGGAGCTTTTTTCGGAAAACAAATCTCTGCTGTCTACACTGGCCCTTTTGCGCAAAAGTTTTTCGGAAAAAGACTTTTGCCCGAATGGGAGCAGCATAGTATTTCCGCAAAAGCACTGACAATCTTACATGAGATCGTCAGTGCTTTTGCGGAAATTCAAGCAGCCAGTGTAGAGAGCTGGCAAGTTTTTCTGGAAAAGCGGCTGATTTTCTGGAAAAACTGGCCAGTCTAGACACAGCCAGAATGTATAGGTTAATGTCCACAGTCTGTTGGGCTAGGAAAGAGGCCTTTATATGTGCTATCTAGAGACATTCCTATTAATGCATCCAGCTATTCAAACTGTCTAATATATAAATCTAATGCTTTAGGTACTTAAGAAAAGAACTTCCAGAAAGCGCTGTGTCACAAATTACCTGGAAAACAGATCAAAGATTTAATGAGCTGCAAATTACATGTCTAAATGACCAACATATATTAATCTATTTTTAACCAACAGGACTTTCTGTTCCTAATTAAATACAGATTTGACCATGCGATATGTGATGTGGCCCTCTGATTTATAGGTTTCAAAACTGTCTTCAAACTGGCATTTGCTTGGCATTTCTCTCAATTCTTCATGAATAGGCATGGCTGTTCCCACTGCACTCATTAGTTTCGTCTCTAGGGGACCCAGCTTTAAGTATTCCTGGAGATACAGAAGAGAGAGAGAATATTGTTGTTCATCAGCAATTGCATAGCAAAAGAGAGGCTCTTCGGAAGATGACTGTTTTAATTTTTAAAGAGACATGGTAAAGATGTGCTCCAGGGGTTCCGTGTTCAACAATTTCCGTATCAAATGTGCTTAGTTTACAAGTAAAGAAAGATTGTCATTCCAACTGCCAGCTCAGCTGGGATTCCATAGCCTGAAATACGCTCTGGGTCCCTGGAAAGCGTGAGTCCAAGGCTGTGTCTACGCAGCACAGCTTTCAGCAAAAGCTTTGCTGCTGTAAGGCAGGCATTGTAGCCGCTCTCTTGCTAACAAAATAAAATCACCTCCAACAAGGGGAAGCAGCTTCGTAAGCAGGAGGGCATCTCCTGCCGCACAGTACTCTCCACACCAGAATTTTTCATCATTAAAACTTGTCAGTCCAAGGTGTGTATGGTTTATTTTCACAACCCTGACCAACACAAGTTTTAACTACAAAAGAGCTGTGCATAGCCCAAAGCTCCCCACAGAGGGTGACGTCTGGAAGAGGTGGCCTGGCCATTTACCCTTCCCAACACAAAGTTTGGAAAGATATAAGGCTCAGACAAAGAAGAGCACTGGAATCCTCATAGTACCCTTACTGGCACTCTGGGTGCAGTGTCTCTATGGCAGCATCTTCAACTCTTTGCATGGGGAGTTTCATCCTCACTGCTATACTGCCAAATGTGGATATCAACGGCACCTTTCACCATAACAGTACTAAAAGCTGACCCAGTGCAGCTGGTAGCTCATTTTCTGACTACAAAAAGGTAGTGCCATAGTAAATGAAAGAAGCCCCATTGATTTTAAACCTTTACCTGGAAATCTTTTTCATCTTCATACAGTATGGAGCTGAAAACAGGAGACACTGGCTGTCCCCACAGATCCTCATAGCTGTATTCTTGCTTCTCAGCTTCTGTCTCAGATTGAGTATCTGAAAACACTTTCTGCTCTATGGTTAGGACTGTGCTCTCGGGGCTTTCATCTCCAGCATCTGTCTTTGCTTTGGGGGGAAGTACAATGATATGCAATGGGATTATGCTTTGTGAAGTTTTAAATTAGGGTTTACCATGGAAATTGCCTATCAATGGGTAGCCAGAGAGTGGTGGCTACTGACTAACAGCCCTGCAGGGAACAGCACAGATGTAAGGGTGGCAATATCATACCAGGCCATCCTTATTTCTATGCTGCCGCTGGTGGCAGCTCTGCCTTTAGAGCTAGTTTCCTGGCCAGCAGTCACCAGTCTCTAGCTATGCAGTTCTGAAGACAATGCTGCTGCCAGCAGAAGTAAGGGTAGCAATACCACAACCCCCACACAATAACCTTGATACACAACTCCTTTTTGGATCAGGACCCCTACAATTACAACATTGTGAATTTTCAGATTGAAATAGCTGAAATCATAAAATTTACCATTTTTAAAATCCTATGACCATGAAATTGATAGGACCCTAACAATAATTCATAGGCAGTAAAAATCTAAGATGTATTCTTGTACAATGTAGTTGATCCTAGCATCCTGGCCTGGCCTTGTTCCATTTTGGGAAACTACCTTCCACAGATCTAAATATCTATTTCACTTAACACAACAGTGTATTATTTTCCTCCTGTCCTGCTCTGTGATGTGGAATTGCTGTGCAGATTGCTAAACCTGAGGTAACTACATTTCAGTGACGAAGTAAATGATCACCATGTATAGTAGAATGTTCCCAAAGGTCTTTGCGTAGAAAAGTACTTACTGAAAAATTACTTATAAAGTTTCATGACTTTTTGACATGTGCATTACCTGCATAATCTCTACATTGTAGTCCTTCCAAGTCCTCACTAAGCAATTCCTCTCCCTGAACTTGCAGGCCAGCTCCCTGGGTAAGAAATAAATGCCTATGAAAATAAAATATAAATAAATGACTTTAGAGTTCTGTACATATTTCCCCAGCAACTGGAACAATTATCTGTGCCAGGTTTTCAGAAAAGATATGCTCGAAAAGCTATCTGACATTTAACCACAAACTCAGAATAGTGCAAGAGTTTAAAAATGTGATTGAGGCAGCCAGGTAACTTACTGACTATGCTCTTTTGTATTCCTACTTCAAAATGCCCATAAAACACAAAAAAATACAAATATAGTCTCAGATTAGTACATGGTCTAGACCAGGGGTTTCCAAACTTTTTGACACGGGGACCAGTAAATCCATTCACGAGCATTTGGAGGACCAGTAACATTCATTTGTATATTTGCATATTCATTAAGCAAATGATAAATATTTAAATAAGTTGTTTCTGGTCCTTCCAAAGCCCCCAGTGCCAGCGTTAGCAAAGCTTTTGATACAGTCACCCACAATATTCTTAACAGCAAGTTAAAGGAATATGGATTGGATAAATGGACTGTAAGATGGATAGAAAGCTGGCTAGATCAGGGTTTCCCAAACTTTTTACTTTAGTTGGAACCTGGTTTTTTTAGTACGGTTTTTTGCAGCCCAAAAATATAAACACACATTAAAAAAAGAATAAAAATGAATACATTTTCAGTTTTCACCCAGCTGCATCCTCCACCCAGCCTGGGCCAAGGCTTGGGGGACCTGGCGCTGCATGGGCACTCCAGTAGGTGGGAGCAGAAGCAGTCTTGGGGTAGGGTAGATGTCTAAGAGGGAGGGTGCAAGGAAGGGTAGGGTTGCCAGGTGTCCAGTTTCTCCTCCTGATATCCCCTGGCCAGCCCTGCTGCCCCCATCTAGCCCTGCTTCCAGCAGCCAGTT